TCTACTGCCATCAGATTGTTTTCTTCAATGGAATCACAATGATTGTACATATTTCAAACTAGACTGACATCATTTTACTGTAAACTGTCAAATTTTGTGCATATATGTAAAACAATTTTCAGCTGTGGGATGTGACGACAGAATTTCTTTAGCATTCTCTCATGAACGTTCATTTGTTAGGATAATTTGACCAACACATGTTCATATTGTTATAGAAAAAATTACCTCAGATCAGTCTTCATTGCTATCTTTTTAATTTCAAATTTGATTAATCTTAACAACTTGGAAAAGCATATAATTAGACGATCACTGCTATACATCGATTGTCGTGATTTTAGGAGTCCTACATGTAGTTTGCTGCAAGTATTACATTCATATTGTCAGTCCAAAATTGTAAGTACACAAAGTTTCCTGAATGACACAGAACCGAGAGTTGTATCTAAAATTGTAGTAGAAATGTTTTAACCCTAACCCCCAAGGATGTATGTAAAATCGTATTGAAATTAGATGATTTGGGACTATTGGGGTTAAAGTAACTACTTAGGCATACTTCAAAATGTTATTGCCAGTGCCAACATTTGTAACACTGGACTCCAAAATGCTCTGATACCAAAGAACTGAGTACTTCTTGGCAAGCCCTCAATGCTCTGATACCAAAGAACTGAGTACTTCTTAGCAAGCCCTCAATCTTTTAGTATCAACTAACTGAATGTCATTGCAAAATTGCAGCCACCTTGCCTTAAATTTCCTTACCCAAACTTTTTACTACTTTGCATAAATTTGACTATCTAGACATGCACATCCTAATAAGGTTATAATTAGGGCTCAAAACCATTCCACATGTGCGGACAAACATGTGCTTTGCATGTATTTAGAAGTCATGTCAGTGTGAGCTTTGATGAAGACAAGTAAAGTTCTAGGTGTTGTTTACATGAACATGTAATCCACATCAAGAAAGAAGAATTGTCAAAGACTAAACAAAGGTATGCGTTTTTTATACCTTTGTTCAAGGTACATGTAAAAATCAATTGGTTTCACTTTGTGTTGCTTGAGGAATGAGAAATTCAAATTATTAGCCAACACATTCATGAACACTTACAACATACTGTGTCCTTCATGCCTCCAACTAGTAAAAGCATATTAAGTGCCCAAACTTATCAATCTTTACGACGAAATCTTTGTGTATTGTCTCCCCTTCACCATGATGCCAAGTTCCAAATCCATCTTCGTCTCCAACCATAAACATCTCTACGGATTTTTGGCACCTTTATCAACAGACGGGCCCTCATCTCGGTCAATTATTTGATATACCATTGGGTCAAATGATCGGGAATTGTGTATATATCTTGTGAAACATCCCCCAAATCAACTAATTTTCGGTAGAAAGCCACACAAAATCCAGCACATGTAGGCCTACGTACGTACACAACTCCACACAGCATCCATATTTTGCTGCTTGTGTAGCACCTGCACAATACATGGCATTTGTTGATTGTGTTACACTGACCCACTGCACACATTCCCGTACATAAATGAGAATACATGATACACCCCACTCTGCCATTACTTTTACTACCATAGTACCACTACCCCACGCACCCAATGTGCATACCGTAGTATTTCAGAGGGAGTAAAATATTTTTGTGTACTTCTGGATAGACGGTAGTAAACTTTACCAAGTCTCACATAAACCTTATTTTGTAAACAATTCCACAAAAGTATTAAACCCCCCCAAAAAACCCGCAAAACCAACACCGGATTTTTGAAAATTCCGTAAATCCGGACAAATCCAAAAGAATCACATCACTGCATAAAAGATTTTACATCTGTCCAAGATCAGATGACAAACTCCACTTGCATTTCTGTGATCCGGGATTTAAAAACACAGTGGGTCGCCAACGCATTTTACGTTTCTCCAACAGAGTTACAAAACCTTTTATTGTACAGGAACTTTCCCCCAAAGGAATGTGCATAATTTTGCCAAGATCAACGATTTGTTTCAACGGGAACTTCGTTCTCCAAAATTGCAGAGATCTTGAAATTCCAATGACATTGGTTTGTAATAACGTCACAGCTTTCTGTAGTACTGGAACAAGGCACATGTACATGTACATGTTCACATGCACTGTCTTGAGTGTTGGAACGATCATGCATGTGTGCATGCACTGATCGCCTGATTGGTGGAGGAATGCCCCATTGGTTGTCGTCAGGGCACTATTCTGTACACTGTTTGTACGACACACGCAGTATGTCCTTGAGAAGTAAACAAGCTGAGCAGACAGCGCCAAGCTGCGTGCAACTGGAGATTGTTCCCCGATCATCGGAGGTTTGCCGTTCATTATTACGATCATCGTGCACAATGACCTGATGACCGTGCAATGTTATCACAGGTACACACACTTATGTTGATTTCCACACTAGCCAACATTGATTTTATTAGTTTCAGTGAATTGAACCATTAAAAGCTTGATTCCAGTGCATCCAAATTTTGTGTGACATGTGCGATGTAAGAACTCTGCATCATCTTTACTTAGGCAAGTCCTGAGACCTCAAAAAAGTAGTTCTGCTTCCGATTACATACCTCTCAAAAATAGGGTCAGTATATTGGGAAAAAAAATTAGGGGAGGGGGACAATTTTTGTGTTGATTAAATGGGGCATTCAATTATGCATGTTCTTTAGCCTGGACTCTTCTCAACTGCACTACTTAAGCTATAAAAAAATTCCCTCAAGAAGTGATCAAACTTGCCTAATCTGTGTAAAAATATCTATATGTACAGTTGACAATGCTTAAGAATAAAGGACAGTTAATCATGACAAGAAATAAGTGAACAATGTCTGTACATTGTGTGTTAATTGTGTGTGATGCATCTAACGGGGTAAGTGAGCGATACACCGTGTGCTGGGGCAGGAAACTCCATGGAAACATGCTCTCTTCACTTATGAGCAATACAACCTTAATTTAAATTCATGAACACAAAATACATAGACAAAAGATCAAGTTCTATGAATAAATTTGCAGTAATCTTCTTGTTACGTAGATTTTTTTTATGTGCAGCTGTAGAGTTGCGTGTGTGTATAGTGTAGTGTAACAATGCCGTTTTGGCCGGAATGTATTAACTGGTGAGTGAGTTGGCCCTTTTCCCACCTGATTTGACCACGTTTTCCATATTTCAATTCTTTGTTACAAAGAATGCAAATGGCATATCCAGGCTTTTGGATTTTCTGGGCGTGGACTGTGTTGCCAAATTCCTCCTTGTCTACAGCGTATTCCATCCACTTTCATTTTCATAGTTTTATAACTTGAGGATCAGTCTTTTGAATGATTGTTTCTGATTCAGAGCCTCTTAATAATGCACACAATAATGCACTTGGACCATAGAAAATGTGCGTGATAATTGACAAGCGCCACTTGTCATGAAACCCTCTAATCGGCAAAAGAGAAAATTTACTCCCAGCTGCAAATTTACAGCAAGATGTCTGCTATTGCGACTTATAGTGGCGACTGTTAGTCACTAATTACGAACACACAGATACGGATGTAACGAGTGCCAACAAGACATATATGAATCTTATATTTCATTTCTAGCCAATCACAGCACAATGACCGGATGGTTCCCAGGATACTGTTTTATTACACCTATACACAAGGCTTGCACTTCGAGCTGCGTCGAAAAATGCCCACACAAATACCATACCATCACTGTATTCATGTACGTACATACACATACATGTAGGCGTGCAGGAGTTTCAATTGCATGCATTACAGGGCTCTATGTTTTCGCACATGTTCTTTTGTCGGAAAAGGAGGACGTGCAAAATTTGGCCTGGCCATTGCGTTGGTAGAAAAAAAAAACAAGAAAAATGGGCACTTGTGCAAGGAAGAAAAATGAGGAAAATCTGGCCTGTCATTGAACAAAAAAAAGGTAAATGAACTTTGGCATACTCAACAAAATGCGGAAATCTGCCTCAAAATCAGATTTCACACTCTTGATATAAATGCAAGTGTTCGACATAGAAATTGAGAAGTCTTTTGTGAAGACAGGAAAGACAACAGAATTTTCTTACAATTTATGTTTTCAAAATTTTTTTCTAACTTGCCAAAACACTCACACCGAAAAATTGGGGCTGGTCACGGAAACCAGAAGCAGAACTGTTTTTTGGGCCTCGTGAGGGACCCCATGGCTAGATGAGTAGATGGAATGGTTTGCTATAATCAAGCCTACCTACATGTACAAGTACCCTCAAAACTGTCAAACTTCAACAGAGGGTTTCGTTGCATTTTGCATGGTTAAGTGCCAAACATGAACACCTTGCTGTGAAAGTTTGTTGGAGTGCGAATTCTAAAGGCCAATGATTATGGCACTGGATTTTGTTTGAGCAGGGACGCACAGCAGTCACCACCTAGAGTGACAGGCTGCTACTGGTACCGTGTATTGGACTGTGCTTGATTTTGTCAGGTTTGGTACTATTACTGTGCAGGTCACTTATATAATGCATAGACTCATCCAAACCAAATGACACACACTTAGCACTAACCTGTTGGATTTCAACAGGTTCTATCCAGTCATATTTCAGTAATTACAGTGACCCCCTGGTATCTGTTGAAGTTTGTTAGGTTCACTACTGTTTCTGGTACAAAAGCCAAGACACTACATGAGGGTTTGGGTTGAGCAATATTCATTATGTTCCAACAGGTTTGCTGGTTGACATTTTCTTCAGAGGTTCAGCATGGTACACATGCAGGTGTTTGTGTGACTTCGAAATTTATTTCCACTACTAAATGAAAATAAAAACAAATCTTTGAGAGAACTGCAGAACTGCTCCTTTTTTCACATGCATGCACCAGTTACTCCATCAGTGGCCACAGTTGTATTTTACTTATTAAATTTTAAATGCCAGTAGTTATTAAAGCTGATTAGGATTTTGTTTTAAATGAATTGACTAGTGTTCAAGGACATGTACACTTTACGTAATGCAACTGACAGAGGGATACACATACCTGTTGGGGGAACACTGTACTATTATTACCCATGCTCCCTTGACTCTGGGCATTGTGGCTCCTAGATCCTGCCAGATGACTTCCAGGATACATGGATTGAGCCATGCCTGGATACTGCCTACTGCTCAACTGGTTCTGCGGCTGGTAGGGAACACTTGGGAAAGGACGTTTTGGCACAGAGTTGACTCCACTGTCTGCAGCAACTCCCATCTATTTAAAAAGATATCAATGAGAGGGCATATAATACTACAATACAATGCATGCATTTTGAGAACTTAAAATGTTTCAAGGATCAATGCTGTGCAATATTTACTGTACTACCACCCATGAAATGCCCCTTTGTTATTCAATGATAATACATTCCATTTGTGTTTTGCTATTTCAAAGCTTTTTGAGCATTCCAGGTTTTTTAATGCTAATGCAAATTTCAATATTCAATCAACAATACACGTCGATGCACATGTAGCATGCACACTGTACATGTACAGTACATTGCGATTGAAAGTTAACACCAAAATGGGAAAAATTGTTCACATTTTTTTTCTTCCCAGGGAATTCCTTTTCATTTCACAAATTGTGAAAAAGTTTGCCAGAAGTGGGAAAATATTTTCACACCTTTTCACACAAGTGGGAAAATATTTTCACAGATTTTCTGTGGTATTGGGGAAATAATTTTGCAAGCTTTCTTCATTAAGTAGTATTGGTGCATGTACATGTAGACATCAGGAAGTTTTTGTCCTCTGTGGTTTCAAACCTGCTCATCGCTGAATATGGAAAGTGGAGGAAAATCAGTCTGAGAGAAAAGTTCTTCAATTCTCAGGAAATTCAGATTACTTGAGGAAGACAGCGTTAAAATGTCAACGCAGTATGTTTCTCGATTTTGAGCAAAATACAATGCGACAGGCAAAATCAAAGCTGGCTATTGTGGCGTTTAAATTAACCCCTTGGAAGTTGGATGGATGCTCAACATGTGCACCGCATATGTGCACATGTACATGTATCCACATGTTGTCATGTATGTGAAATACATTTACAGGTATTGGCAGATGTATGTACTGTGATTTTGTAATAAATGCCTTGTATCCGCTTATCTCGACGTTTTCGTGACGCCGATCAAAAAATATTTGGTCCTACCAAATCCGTTCAAAAACCGCCACGGGACCTCGTGCATGCACACCGCATCGCGAAGCACAAACTACATCGACACCTACCGCGACATCCCGACTGCTACTGCATGCCCATTCATGGACAGCCCAGTCGCTGACTTTTTCCAATAACCATGTGACCACAGAAAGTAACATGTCATCAGAAACCCAAGAGAAAACAGACCCGAAATGTCACAGCAAACACGATCGGCGAAAAGACGAGATTTGCTACATGAAGATACACGTACAATTTAACCAGTTGATTTTATTTGTCGATCGAAAGAAACCTTTCAGTGACAAATTACTACATGTAGTATTTCACTGTCGATTTTTTTGTGTGCCAAACTACACCACGAGAATAAATAAAAAGTGGGCAAATAACCCATGTCGCCACAGCAGAGCGGGTTAAGTTTGTTGTAATACATACATGTAGTGACTTCATGACTTGGGGACTCCCGTGTCTCCGACATTGACCAGTGTTTATTTATAGTAATCCAAGAAAACAACTGCACCACGCGCGTGCGGCTCGCCGTGGTGAGCAAATCCCCACGATCGCGTTGCATGGACCGGACAGCTCGGCCGAGGAAATCGCTACCAGACTACAACAGCCCACTCCACGTGGTGACACGCTTGGGGCCGGCCAGTCGAGCCAACTAGCACAGCGCAGCCTGCGTAAAGGACTCTTCACTGCATAATAGTCATGCGCGTGTGGCAAGTGTTAAGCATTTTCGCTGCACAATGCTTCTCGTTTTCGCAAGTTCCCGCATGATTTTGGGAACCTTTCGCACCGCTTTCGCAAAATTTTCACTCTGTTTCCGCACACAAATTTTCTCAATGTTTTCGCAAATGTTTCATGCCGTGTTTGCAAAAGATTCGCACTGTTTTCGCACAATTTTCGCACGTCATTTACCCCTTTCGCATCCGATTCGCTATGAATTCGCAGGGGGGAAAGTTGTCAAAATGCGAAATGGGAACGCAAATTCCATTCGCTTTTTTTCCCATTCCTTTTCGCAGCGTTAACTTTCAAATGCAACGTACTGTACATATGCTTCCATGTGCATGTATGTCTCACGCAGTTTCACTGTACATGGTACAATCTGTTACTTGTTTTTACTGGTCAGTAAAAAGTTTTCGGTGACAAGAGACCCAATCAGTATTGTTCTTGCCATGAGCTTTTGGTCATCATGAAAATGTTGCTCCGTGCATACATACATGTACAGCATATGAGCTCATTGAATTAGTGCAGGAAACCCTAAAGTATAATCATCCATAATCATACGTAAACATTGTCATGTTCACATGTGCATGCACATGTGTTGGTTTGAGGTTTTCCTGTTTTAAGTTTCCAGTTTAAACTTTCAAATCCCCTTCAGGTTTTTTTAAAGAAATGCTCAAATCAGGATGAAAAAGGTTCTTTTCCACTTTTATTTAAATTAAAGGGACACGTACATGACGTACAACTTTGTTGAATTGTAGGTTGAATATGAAATTAACGTGACGTTAGTCAGTCGGGCCTAAACTGTGTATTTTTAATTTGCAAGTATAAAAATTCTGGTTCAAATAAAGAAGCAAGTACTGAGGTAATGTATGTATCTTAAGCCCGTTTCTAACTGAACTAAAACAAAATTAATTTCAAAAATTGCCGTAACATTATAAAACATCAGAGAAAGTGGATCCAATTATAGACCCCCAGGGTACAAACAATCATTTGACCTCATTTTCCACTTCTTTTAATTGGTTTATTTATTTTGTTTGGTCTTCCATCTGGTCTCCTGTCTGGATAATCATTTGTTGGATTGCCTCTTATATTTGGGTATACATGTGTTCCTGTTTTATATGGGTGTTGAATATGCCCTGTTTTAATTTCATTTCTATAGATATCTTACTTTTAATTTCATATTATATTCTACACTTGTAGTATTTTAATCTTAAATTCTTTTTAATCTGTCACATTTTGTAACAATGAAAATGGAAAGACCACATGCAATTTGACCTTTGGGTCACGATATTTACAGAACCGGGTACTCAAAAAAGTTGCAATTGTGGGGGGTTCTGGTGGGTATGTGATTCCTATCCGCCTTAAAAGTACCAGTATAAGACCGAAGCTTGACTTGAGTTGTTCCAGTACCAAATTTATTCCATGTGGAATGGTGATGATGCATGCGCATTATTTAGTGCCTAGAAAATTCATATGAATAAAATTCAATGTATCAATAATATTGATATGAAAAAATATATATATCAGTATCCGCCAAAATAAAATATCGACGGTGTGAACATAAACCATCTACTTAATTGCACAAACATTTTGAGCCTTTGATTAAGGTAACATTTAGTAACACCTAATACCATTTTAGAAGTTTTAACAAATACACTTTGCATGCATTCTGCAGTGGAAGATGTGTTTTCTTCCCCATACTGGGTTTCTAAATCAGAATCACTGCCAACATGTATTTCCACCACATGCTTAAAGTACAAATACTAGTACTTGGAATAACTATTGGACTTGTACTCACAATTAACAGTACTTATACTCGGAGATAGTAATCGTACGCACAAGTATTTGTCCTCAAAAACCAGTACTTGTACTTGGCTGGCAAAGTACTCAGACTTTCACTATACTCAGAAATTTAAGTACTCGGCAGTACTCAGTACTGAGATACACGTGCTTGATTACAACAAATACGCGTATGCATCCAAATGCATGAGAGTTTATACCACACATATAGTATTGTGCATGTGCTGTAAATTTTAATGCATAATTCAGTGCAGAACAAGGAAATGAATGCTGGAAAATAAAGGAAGGTATGTATGAACTGATGTACATTCACAACTACAGTTGTATAGGTGACTTCAGACTGCTGTTAAAAAATATAGACAGACAAAACAAGTAAAATTCAAATTTATGTATAAAAGAGGTTCTGAGGTTCTGAGGTTTGCACCCAAAAGAATACATCACTTGTCCCTGGGCAATCGGACAACCGTTAATGTCAAGGCCTTGTGTAGCCTTGGCATAAGGGCTAAGGTGGTTAGCAACCCTTTAAACAGAAAAACAGTATTTGGCAGCCATTGGCTCCTAATGGGGAAAAATCTAGGTGCCATTACTTTGATGAAAATTTAGTAATCACGTGTGCTGAATATTCATAAACGTACGTACACGCACATAGTATAGATACCCTGTGTTTACATCCTCCCTCCATGCCGAAGAATCATGACCTGGCGCAGCACCACCACACAACTTGCATACAAGCCCTTAGCGCCAATGAGATCAATCGCCAAGGGTCAGCCACGGACTTTATGACATCTGTCATTTCAGCTTGTTGCAGAACACCCTAAATGGGACACTCTAAATCACAGCGACATCCTTTAATTCTGGCATGAGCTCCATTTCAGGTTTCAGCAAAAAAGCAGCAAAAAAGCAGCAAAAAAGCAGCAAAAACTGGATCCCATACCATGCCATGGTTTATAAAATGGCCCTGGTGTCCGTACACAGTGCATCAACAACGTATGTTTCGATCGGGAACCTATCAAACCATGCAAGTGATCGCGACACATGTACATGTTAAGTATGGTATATGTACAAGTACACTGTCGTGCAAAAGTCTGATCGCACCAACGTGTACAAAATATTTATTCCTATTGATCATTAAATGCAATAAAGATGTGAATAAAAACTATGCCTGTGTCTTTGGTAGTATCCATATTCCAATAAATTCATGTTTTATTTCATTAATCATTTCTTCAAAGTCACCAAAATGTTAAAAAATGACATCGTTTCTGTTCTGTGTGCACAAAGTGAATGGAGAGTATCCTCATTAACATATCGTTATAGGCAAAATCCAAGATGGCGGCGCCCCATTTCCAAAGCACGAAGGATGGCCCATGGATTGTAGTGTGTTTAGGCCCTGTGAGCGTCAATAATGGCTTGACACCTTCTTGACATTGAAGGCAAGAAATCCTTGATAATTTGGCAGTCCAGTCCCTCCCACATCCGATTTAGAATCTTGAAATAGCCCCTTAATTCTGAGGCCTGTCTTCACGCTGAACACGGTCATGACGGGTGAC